ATGTTTAGTGCTTCTTTCAGGAGCTCTTGTAAAGCAGGCCTGGTGGTGATGAAATCTCTGAGTACTTGCTTGTTCGTAAAGGATTTTATTTTTCCTTGACTTATGAAGCTTAGTTTGGCTGAATATGAAATTCTGGGTTGAAAGTTCTTAACAATGTTGAATATTGGCCCCCACTCCCTTCTGGCTTGTAGGGTTTCTGCTGAGAGATCTGCTGTGAGTCTGATGGGCTTCCCTTTGTGGGTAACCTGACCTTTCTCTCTGGCTTCCCTTAGCATTTTCTCCTTCATTTCAACCCTGGTAAATCTGACGATTATGTGCCTTGGGGTTGCTCTTCTTGAGGAATATCTTTGTGGTGGTCTCTGTATTTCCTGGACTTGAATATTGGCCTGCCTGGCTAGGTTGGGGAAGTTTTCCTGGATAATATCCTGAAGAGTATTTTCCAGCTTGGATTCATTCTCTCCATCACATTCAGGTACACCTATCAAATGTAGATTAGGTCTTTTCACATAGTCCCATATTTCTTGGACACTTTGTTCATTCATTTTTTACCCTTTTTTCTCTAATCTTGCCTTCTCATTTTATTTCATTGAGTTGATCTTCAACCTCTGATATCCTTTTTTCTGCTTGGTCAATTCGGCTGTTGAAACTTGTGTATGCTTCGCGTTCTCATGTTGTGTTTTTCAACTCCATCAGTTCACTTATATTCCTCTCTAAGTTGTTTATTCTCATTAACATTTTGTCAAATCTTTTTTCAAGGTTCTTAGTTTCTTTGCATTGGGTTAGAACATGTTCTTTTAGCTCAGCAAAGTTTCTTATTACCCACCTTCTGAAGTCTGTTTCTGTCAATTTATCATGCTCATTCTCCATCCAGCCTTGTTCCCTTGCTGGTGAGGAGTTGTGATCCCTTGTAGGGAGGAGAGGCATTCTGGTTTCAAGTGTTTTCATCCTTTTTGCACTGGTTTCTTCCCATCTTTATGGATTTATCCACCTGTCATCTTTGTAGTTGTTGGCTTTCAGGTTGGGTCTCTTAGTGGACGTCCAGTTTGTTGATAATGAAGTTATTTCTTTCTGTTTCTTAGTTTTCCTTCTAGCCTTCTGCTGTAGGACTGCTGAGGTCCACTCCAGGCCCTGCTCGCCTGGTGGCCTCCTGCAGTGGCTGCAGAACAGTAAGGGTTGCTGCCAGTTTCTTCTGCTATCTTTGTCCCAGAAGGATACCCACCAGATGTCAGTCCAAGCTCTCCTTTATGAGGTTTCTCTTTGGATATACGGGGGTCAGGGAGCTGCTTGAGACGACAGTCTGTCCTTTATAGGAGCTCAGGTGCTGAGCTGTGAGCTTCATTGTTCATTCAGAGCTGCTGGGCAGATACGTTTAAGTCTGCTGCAGCAGAACTCTTACACCCCCCTTTTTTTTTCCCCCAGGTGCTCTATCCCAGGGAGTTGGGGCTTTATTTATAAGTTTCTGTCATGCTGCTGCCTTTTTTCAGGGCTGCCCTGCCCAGTGAGGAGGCAGCCTAGTCACTGTCTGCCTGCAGAGTCTTTGCTGAGCTGCTGTGGGCTCGGCCCAGCTGCTGTGTGAACTTTCCTGCAGTCCTGTTTATATGGGTATAGTTAGAACTGCCTCGGCAATTGTGGCCAACCTCTGTAATGGCGGACTCTCTACATAATGGTGGGCTGCCTCAGCAATGGTGGGCTGCCTCAGCAGTGGCAGCCTACCTCCGTAGTGGTGGACTGCCTCGGTAATGGCGGACACCCCTCCCCAACAGAGCTGGACGTCCCATGTTCACCTGTGCTTGCTGTGAAACTCTCGATCCAGAGCATTTCAGATTGCTGTTTTTTTGTGGGGGTGGGACCAGCCAAGCCTGATCACCTGGCTCCCTGTCTCAGACCCCCCCGCCTTTTTTTTTTCTTCCAGTTGAACAGGCGACTCTTGTCTCCCAGGTGTTCCAGTCACCTGTTGAAAAGGCGCTGGGATCTGTGTGGTTTCCCTTGCGGCGACCCACTGCACCAGCTCAAACAGCCACCCTGAGATTTGTGGCACTTTTTTTGTTCGGGAGTCTCCTGGCCTGGTTCCCTGTTTCAGTCCCCTTTTTTATCAGTTGAATGGGCAACTCTGTCTCCCAGGAACTCCAATCGCCAGCTAAAACGGCACCTGGACCCATGTATTTTGTACGGAGATCCGCCGTGCCAGGGTGCTGGTGCGCCGGCTAAAACAGCCGCGCCGGCCAAAACAGCCGCACTGGTGACCCGTGGGGCACCTCTGTTTGGGAATCTCCTGATCTGTGGGCAATAAAAATTCGTCTGTAAATGTGGCGTCCACTCACCCTCCGCACTTTTGATGGGAGCTGCAATCCTGAGCTGCTCCTAATCAGCCATCTTGGATCCATCCTCCTGCATACTATTTTTTAATGACTTCTGTACATAACAACAGGGCTTTAGCCTCTGTGTTTTCCTTTTTTTAATTTCTCCTTTTATCATATGGGTATTACAGAGGTAGGTGTTAAAAGTTTTTTTTAAATTTAAATATGAAGAAAAACCTTAAAATATAGTTTCTACTCTCCAGAAGTGTACAGTGTGGGGTAAGGAACGTCTACAAAAGAGTTAAGTAACAATATTAAGTAGTAGATGATTAAGACTGCAAATAATTAGTTGCCTGTGAGACCACTTGTTAGCTATATAAGTGGGCAAGATGGCTAATGTCTCTAGGCATCAGTTTCCTCATCTGTGTAATGAAGGTAGTGATACCAGTCCTGCTTAGAGTGTTCTATTGATAATCAGGTGAGATACTGTATGTTTGTACAATTAAAGGTTATAAAGTGATAAATATGAGTTTATTATGATTTCTAGTATTAAAGCTTATAATGTAATAGAGAAGAAAGAACATCCTGCTTAAAATATTTATAAGCTTTTTCTGGGGTGATATTTCTTTACTGGTTATCAAAAAAATCACTTTGGCCTTTGGGTTGTTAGGCTCCTGGAGTTACTTTTCAATTCTTAATTTGTTCTCCATATTCTTTGGAAAGTTCTTCTGAGTTTCAGAAACTGTTTTCCTTTGTTTTTCAGATTTGCTACAACATAGTGTCCTTTGTTTTTTGTACCCAAAGACCAGCCAAAATGTAGGAATATAATTTCTCTGCTTAGTTTTTGTTAGCTGTCTCTCCAGAATGAGCATAGGTTGTCCATTTTTTAAGGTTTTACAACTCAAGGGGAAATAGAGTATAATAAATATGGGAACTTATCTTTAAAATCTTATATGGTTTCCAAAGAGTTCTGTGATAGCTCTGATTTCTTTTCTCAGGTGGGGCCCAAAAGCACATACCCTCATCTCTCTTATAATTCTTACGTTTTTAAAATTTTCCCTCTTCCTACTTCTCTACCTTTTTCTAGTTTACTTAGATTTCTTCTTTCTTAGCCTTTTACCTTTTGTGACAACAAAGTCAGATTTTCTTTCTTAGAAATTTAGGTCATGCTTTGTAATTCATCTTCTTCCCTTGTTACTACAAAATCTAGAACTTCATTTAAATTTGCAGAGACAATCTCACTAAAAATGATTGTAGAAATTACCTCGTGAGCTTAGGTCTCTTCTTTTGGCAATAGGTACATTCAGAATATAAGAAGAGGAAATAAACTAACATATAAAACGTCTTCTGGGATGATATCTTTTATTCTTGTTTTATAATTATTGCTAAAAAATTTATCTAGTTATTAATGTTTTTAATCATTTCTAGAATTAATTAAAATTTTTCTATTTGTGTATACTTAGTGGTAAGACTATGAGAAATTCAAGAAGACTTCGGTTTATTTTCTTAAGGTACTTAAATCCACAAGGTTAGAGCTTCAGAGAAGATCAGTACTTCAGAGAAGAAGGGCCTGTTACTGTTTACTTATTTGGGCAGGTCATGTCTTTTGTATTAGTTCCTACTTAGGGACTGCTTATTTTATTCTAATTCTTTGTTACATATTAGGAGCCAGGAAATAAATTTAAATGAGGAAAAGAACAGAATAAAAAGAATATAGAGATAAGAACAGAATAAAAAGAACAGAATAAAAAGAATTCAGAGAAGATCTGTAAGGGCCTGTTCTGTTTACTTATTTGGGCAGGTCATGTCTTTTGTATTATTTCCTACTTAGGGACTGCTTATTTTATTCTAATTCTTTGTTACACATTAGGAGCCAGAAAATAAATTTAAATGAGGAAAAGAACAGAATAAAAAGAATGTAGAGATCTTTTAGGGACCTCTGAGGCTCTTACCAGCAATCATTGAAGACTATATAAATTCCCTTTTGATGGAATTTTGAAAATATTACCACAAATAGGCCCCAGCTCTAGTTCCTCTAGCACTGATACATTAATTTTTTAGTTTATTTTCATTGTTGAAATATGTGAGAGATGGCTGTATTTTGGTTTCAGTTATTTAAACTTCATGATAGAAGTGAAATGATCATCAGTAACTTAAAAATAATTTTATTAGATATTCTTATTATCTAGTCATGAATTTACATAATCATAAATTAATCTCTACTTGACATTTTCGTTTAAATTCACTCTTTAATTGTTATAAGTTAATGAAGTACAAGGCAATTAATGAAGTACAGGGCAATGTATAAATTGTGTGGTGGTAAAGTCCGAGTTTTTTAGGATATTTATCACCCAAATAATGTATATTGAACCCATTAAGTAATTTCTCATCATCTACCTTTCCCACACCCTGTAACCCTTCAGACCTAGACTAATGTCCAAAAAAGTTTTTGTAGGTTTTCTTCTAGTATTTTTAGTTTCCAGTCTTAGGATTAAGTCTTTAGTGTATCTTGAGTTGATTTTTATGTATGGTTAAGAGATAAGGGTCCAGTTTCATTCCCCTGCATATGGCAATCCAGTTTTTCCAGCACCGTTTTTTGAAAATTGTGTCCTTTTCCCAAAGTATGTTTTTGTCAACCTTGTCAAAGATTAGTAACTGTATGTATGTGGTTTTATTAAATTCATTTTACCCTTTTTTTTTCAGCTACATTAACAAGCTATTCTGAAAACATGGAACGTACAAAATATGCTGGGGAAAGCAGTAAAGAATTAGGATCTGGAGGAAACATAAAACCTTGGCAATCTCAAAAATCCAGCATGGACTCCTGTTTGTATCGAGTAGATGAAAACATGACTGCTTCCACCTACAGCCTGAATAAGATCCCAGAGAGAAATTTGGAAACAGTGTTATCTCAATCAGTACAGTCTATTCCTTTGTATCTCATGCCACGGCCAAATTCAGTAGCAGGTAAGGTTGTTGTTGTTGTTGTTAATTATTTTATCCAATATATATTGAAATGAAAATAAATGCTGCACCGATAGCATTTAAATTTTCCATTCATGTTTTTTGACTAAGCTCTTCTTTTGTGTTTGAGTAATATACATGTATATTATTTAAATCTGGAGGAACATTCATCTTCCCCAAATGACTGCATATTCTGCTCCCAAAATATACAAAAACACATATAAATTCAGAAACAGCCTATAAAATATTTCATCAAACTACTGAAAATCTTTTCTCTCAATCAAAAGTCTTTGAAGGAATTTTAGTTTGAGGTTTTAGTTGTTTTCTTAAAATCTTAGTTTCATAAAACCTCACTAAGATGGTCATATCTCAGTATAATTTGTATTATCAGAAATCATCATCCATAGTTTGTAAAAGTGGAAGGCAGGCAAAAATTCAGCTTTTCCTTATCCCATGAGTTCAGTATTTTCACAGTACCCTGGCTGTCATTTCATGGAAGAATCACCAGGTGGGTGGCTGTATTTCTAAAGAATAACTCTGGCTGGGCATGGTGGCTCACACCTGTAATCCTAGCACTTTGGGAGGTCGAGGTGGGCGGATGACAAGGTCAGTAGATTGAGACCATCCTGGCCAACATGGTGAAACCCCTCTCTACTAAAAATACAAAAATTAGTTGGGCTTGGTGGTACGCTCCTATAGTCCTGGCTACTCGGGAAGCTGAGGCAGGAAAATCACTTGAACCCATGAG